CGCTGCACGAGGGAGTGCACGTTTATTGCCACTGCGTCGTCATTGTTGCCACTGCTGTCTAGCTGAAAGCTGATGCTGCTTCTAGGTGATCGCTTCTGCCTTTGGCAAACAACGATCTCATAAAAGCATCGCTGCTGGTGTAAAAAAGGGGGTTTACTGCTGGAGTTATTGGAAGAAACAAAGCCAGGTTGAGCCAAAAAGGCTTGAACTCCTTTCCGTTCCCTGGCATTGATAGCTGTGGTGGTGTGGAAGACAGACATGGAGAGCAGTTGCCTTATCTGTGACTGTGGTGCCTTTATTAAAAAAAAAAAAACCAAACAACCCCTCATGTTGCTGTTGTGTCCCTTCACATTTTGTAATTCCCCATTACTTACAATCTCCAAATTTTTAATATGTACATTTGTCACATGTAATTGTTCTCTTCTTGTTATTTAAGGAAAAAAAAACTTAAGTATAGCATTGATTATTTTTTTTTTTTCTTCCCCTCCCCCAGTTTATAACTTTGATGGGATGTACTGCAAACCTCTCTATTCGTTAGGGAATATGGTTGTTTTTTAATTCGTGACATCTCTTCCCCCACAGTGTGTTAATTCCATTGTAGAGGTGTTTTTCATCAACATGCAGGATTCTGACTTTGGAAACTCCGCTGACTTTTTCAGTTTCACCACATATGTCTGTTCTGTTTCAAGCTGCCTTAGGTAAAGGAATCTCGCGTTCTGCGAGGGGACCAACTTGAGTATGTGTACGCTAGGTTTCGGCTTCATGCTGCTGTTTCTGGGGACAATTTGTGGAGATAACGGTGATGAATCATCAGTTAATACCTGTCAAATCCAGGTAGTCACAAGAATCCGTCAATACGTACACGTATAGGCTCCCTTGTTCTTCGGCATCTGAATCCTATTAACAGCTGTCAAAACCTGGTAAACTATTTATATGCTTTCACAATTTGTTTAATTGGATAGTTAGGAAATGGCATACAAGAAAAGCTTTTCTTTTTTCTTTTTTTTTTTCTTTAGTCTGGCTGAACATCTGTAGCATTAGGGGCTCATTATCTCTGAATTGGCATAGCAAATCAGCAGCATCATTAAAATGCCACATTAAGATGATTAAGTTTCTTTGTTATCCAGTTGACTTTTTGCATGTGCTGAGGATTTCATGATTATGACCCCACTCCTTGTAAAACACTTGAGCAACATCGCCCTTTTGTGCCGTTGTCTTTAATAGCTTCTGGTTTTTATTCTTGGTGCTTTTCATAACACTACTGGCAAACTTTGCTTAACAACAGTACAAAACTTGCGTTCTTTTCTCTCTATTTGATGCCACAGTCTTGGATTAAATATAGTAATTGGGGGGTTTTCCTTCCAAGACTTCCTCCTAGAGAGAATAGCTAAGATAACACTCTAGCTCGTCCTAATTGTTTGCTGCTGTTGACTTCTTTTTTTATTCATGCATTTTATAGAACATGTACGAGCACCGTTCATGGGGTGACTCAGTCTGAAGTTGCCACCACAGCTTTATTTTGGATTTTTTCCAGAACCCATTGTTTTTACAATGTTTCAGGTGAAACAAAAATATTACTCTGGAGTATGTCTTTCATCTTGTAATCATCTCCTCAGGAAATGAAACCATGTGCATCAGCCTTAACGCATCACACTGGTACTTTGTTGTGTAAAATCTACATTTTTTTTTTTTTTTTTTTCTCTGCAGTGTTTATTACCTTCATGAACTGCCTCAAGAAAAATAGTTACCTGGGTTGGACACCATGAATGTTTTTTTCCTCTTACAACCTCTTTACTTTCCTAAGCATAGGAGCGATGATAGCACTTCTTTTTTCAACTGGGGGAACTTTGTCAATGGTGATGTTGGGGATAATTGTGTTTTTCCTCAGTTAAATTTCCTTTTTCTACTTGAAGTTACAGCTGCCTTCCTCTTTGCTAAGGTGGACCAGCCTGGAAAGTCCCTAATCTCATTAAAATATGTCGATAGGATTTTTAAGTGACAGATACAAACCTTTCCATGCAGCTGCCGTTCTCCTGATCTCTCAGTATTCCCTGCGTGTGCCAGTACACAGAGCAAAAGTCAGGGCTGAAGAAGGTATTTGGTTGATTTTAGGCTGACCTGTGCTGAGCCGTCTTTTCCTCAGACTGCCTTGTACCACAGCTTTCTTGTGAACTGCTGCCAGGAAGGCAGAGTAGACTCTAAACAGTAACAGGTACGTTAGGACAGAAGAATTCCAACCCTTCTCACATTTATTCGGTTAAAAAAGGCCTCTTCCCTAGTGGCTTCTGCTGTCTGTTCTTCTCAGTCATCGGAAGGTGAGTTTTTCCGTTGAGGTTCTTCAAATGCTACGTGCAAACTGAAAAGCGCTCGAGCTTTGGTGGGATATTGCTGGCAGCTGGAGCGGCGGTGATGTTTGGTGGGGGGAAAAGTCTTGGTCAGAACTCGGGTGCGTCCTTCTCTCTTACTATAAGGAAACACAAGTATTGCAAGCAGTCAGTGTGCAACGTGGAAAATGCAGAGGTAATTATTTTCCGCAGTGGAACCATTAGGATGGCTTGCCAGGTTTGTGCCAGTCAGCAAGTGCTTGCCATGGGGAACTCAAACCGGTGTTCATGCTACGCTGCGTGAACGCTGGCATAACTCCGTAACAGAGCGAAAAGCTGTGAGCCATGAACTTGTGGTGAGAAACAGTAGAAAACGGTAGAGAAGTCTTCTCAGTTGGAGGTTACAACTAGTCCTCCACTGCTAAGCAATTGCATTTGATGCAGACAAAAGGTGAGACGTTAAGTAGAAAGTGGGAATTGAAATTGTTTCTGAAAGTACCAACAAGGTGCAGCTGCAATGTGTACTTCCTTTTACCATGCTGTGCAGGATGTAGCAAATTATTTTGGAACTGCCTCCTTTTGAGAGGGAAAAAAACCCACCCAACCAACCCAAAAACTTTTTTTTTTTTTTTTTTTGGAAAAGAGATTCTGTTGAAAGCTGCTTACGGCAACGGGCAAAAATTTTTCCTTAGAGTGATGGAAATGGATGCATAAACTAATTTTGAAGGAGTCTTGATCACAGGATCACCCTCGCACCCTCAGACCCAAAGGTGGCAGGAGAAGGTACCTGCAGAGGAAACCCTGTTTCCGTGGAAGTAGGAATCCCCGGGATGTGAAGCAGAGCTAGTACGAAGAAAGTGCAGAGAGAAACGGCCCATTTGTAGGTGAATCTGGTCCTCCCTGTGGGCCCTCTGAGCAAACACCCAAACCTGCCTGAGCTCTTTGAGGACCAGGGCAGTCAGTCCCGATACCAAACTCTAGAAAACATCTAGGATAGGGGATAAAACCACACAATATGGGGAAAAAAGCCATCTTCTATGGAATATCATCATCTAGGGAGAGCGCCAACGGGAATCTCGGGGTTTTCCATACTTCTGTGGATTCTTGCATAGGATGAAGAAATTGTCACCCACCTGCTTCTCCCACCTCACTTCAACCCAAAGGAAGAGAGCTTGGCCAGGCTTAGTGCAAGCATGTAGGCTAGAGGAGCGATTTTATCATGAAAATATAGTTGAAGATTTTGATTTCATGGAAATACTGGTTGCCAGATCTTTATTTTTTAGTGCTGCTTTTATGTTGCCACCTCATTTTCGCTGTCACCCATTGTTTGTTCTCGGCATTTGATGTGGTTTATTACTCAGAACCAGAGCTAATACATATTCAGCAGTCCATGTTCTGTACTTTGGAGAAAGGACAAGTGATTAAATGGCATATTTAACTGTCTAACCCTCAGTTTGAGAGAGGAGCAGGTGGCCATGAGAACAATACTTTCAAACAGGAAACTATGTATTTTATCTCTTAGTGCTTTTCTTCACTTGGTAGCTTGAGGCACAACTCAAGTTTCAGCCGTAGCCTACCCCTTGCCTAGATGGAAAAGTCAGTGTTAAGCAGAAAAAAGCTGCCCCGCCCATTAGTAAGGATTTTAATGCAAGTGCTGGTAATGCTGGGAGTTAATAGCGGAAAAGAAATTCAGGAACATAAGTTGGGAATCGTCAGCTGTTTATATAGTGTGACCAATTTGCTCATATTTTTACACGGGAGCACTATTGTTAGTAAATTATTAGCTACTTGTGACGTTCTCCTCTTGTCGTGAAATTGCATTCATTTAAGGCAATGGCTCTGGTTTTCTCTGGACATGGCTACAGGTCCAGGAACCTACTCAGAGGCCCTGGATACTGATGCTTATGAGTCTTTGGGCTCTTTGCCACATTCTTGCAATACGACTTTGGACAAATCTTTTAACATTTCTGAGATACGTTTATTTGTCAGGAAATCTTTACCCTGCCTCGGTTAGTTTTAATCACATAGTAACCTTATGACACAGGTATCAAGATGATCGCATGCGCCTCACACATTTGAGATCTTTGGATAAAAACTGCGATTTGCAAGTGAAAATTAGGATTATTTATTAGGGTTAACTGATGCAAATCTATACCATGAGAGCACTGGAAGACTTACACTGGCTCAGACATATTTCTTAGGCATGTTTCAAGCACCAGAGGTTCCACGGGAAGATAGAAGTATCCTTTTTAATTTGGGTTTTTCTGTATTTCCAATTCACAGGAACAGTCTGAGACACTGATTTCTATAGGCTAATTGTGAGTTGTGGGAATGAGTATTGTCTTTTGAATGCTGAATAGTACCCTTTAATTGCAGGAGGATTTTGTACTGTGTTATACTTCTATAATCTGTAGAAGGAAATTATCCATCAAAGCTAATTAACAGGCAGGTCAGTATTTTTAAAGGTTATCTCTCTGGGAATATCATTATTGTACATGACCCATGAAGATTCATGTCTCAACTGCGTTTCTTTGTCTTTGGGTGTTTAAGTAAAACTTTTAGGAAGCTTGATAATGTAATTTTATGTAATTTTTGGTGAGTTTTTTTTCCTAAGATACTTTATTGTGCATAAGACGAGCGTTTTTTTTTCACTTTTGTGCTTTGTTTTACCTGCAGATGATGTGGTTAAAGTGAAAGGTGAATACAGTGAAAGAGAGGAGAGTGCTTTAAATTCAGAGCCTATGGAAAACCCAGAAGAATCTGAAATGCCTTACACCTATCCCAGAGAATATAATGAATATGAAAGCATTAAACTGGAAAGACATTCTGGTTCATATGACAACGTCAGGCCAGCTAGTGGAAAAATGAATTGTGATATCTGTGGATTAGCCTGCATTAGCCTCAATGTCTTGATGGTTCATAAGCGTAGCCACACTGGTAAATATCCCTATGTTATTCTTGTAAGAGCTGAATACTGAAAGGATAATAATTCGTAATATAGACTACTTATTTTAAAAAAGGATACCAAAATTAGGGTTTCCTTGTTCTGTCCTTGACACCACATGTGATCTCTAGCAAGTTACTCACTTTTCTGTGCCTCACTTTACCCTCCTTTCTTCTCATCAGGACTGAACGCTAGTAGAAGCATGTTTGTGAGGCATTTTAAGAATTTTGGATGAAAGGCACTATGTAATTTAAATATTCCGGGCACAAAACACAAGTTAGATTGGTTTTGTGCTGCCATTTCCAGTCTGTATATGTATTTCTTTTTGTGCTGTACTTTGGCAACAAACCAATGAGCATCTTGGGTTTCGACCTGCAGTAAGATAAGACTTTTTTTTTTTTTTTTTTTTTTTTTTCCTCTAAAAATTGCTAGCTTGTTGGAATCCGCCTCCTCCAGAACACTTATTTCCATAGAAAAACTGTACGGTGTTTTCCATAGTCGTACATATGTTATAAGAAGCTCTGACACCAGAGCTGCATGTAACTCCCACTGAAGTCAACGGAAGGGCTGTGTGTGTTTCTGTAGAAAGAAATCGATCCAGTATCTCATTCTTTCCCCTTCCAAAAAGGAAAGGGTATGAGGATAGCATGATGCCCACATAACCATTAAATGTCCTTTTTTGTATGTCATTTTAAGGTGAACGGCCATTCCAGTGTAATCAGTGCGGAGCTTCCTTTACTCAGAAGGGTAACCTCCTCCGCCACATTAAACTACATACAGGGGAAAAACCTTTTAAATGTCATCTTTGCAGTTATGCCTGCCAAAGGAGGGATGCGCTAACAGGTCACTTAAGGACACATTCTGGTAAGTGACTTCAAAGACACTTCATGTGTTTTTAGATGTGTGTCACTAGGACACTAGGTGTGGAAAATAGAGTCAGTCAGCAAAGTTTGCTCAGCCGGTCTAGTTTTGAAGAGTCAACAAATTGCGGTGACCACTCACTCTGCCTGCTGCGCTGATGGAACCATCTTGGGACTCGGCTCCGCTCTTAATGCAGAAAGAGGGTGCAGGGAAACCCGCTGTCCCAGCTGCGTGCTGTGAGAAACAGCCAGCCTTGATACCTGCTCGCACAAAACAGCTCCTTGGTTTTTTCAAATGAGTGGAGCTAGCTATGCTAGCGAGCTCTGAATGCGAGGGGTAGCGCGAAGACATTCTTTGCTGGGCCTTCCTTCTGTTCCTATCCGGAGCTGTTAGGGTAGCTCTAGGAGCACAATCCAGGACAGCATGACTCTCTTGCCAGTTAACACCTCGCTGTTGCATAGTGCCTTTCATCTGAAGGTCTTAGTGTGCTCAACAAACACCAGTGGTTTTTCTCAGGACTGCTAGGGTGTTCCATCCATTTTACAGATGGGAGAAATGGAGGCACAGAGCTGAGGTGACTTGAAGAACAAGCCAGGTAGAAATGGATTAATCTTAGTTCTTCCAGTTCTGCAAGAACAAGGCTGTGCTCGCTCTTTGATTTGTGTATATCCTGTATATCCCAAAAAAAGGCCTAGAAGGAAAACATTTATTCAAAATTATAGATGTTATCTCTGCACTGCACTTTACAGAAAAAAAAGTTCAACCTCACAAAGAATCAAAGTTAAAAATGAGATTATCTGACATGGATAAATGAGGTTCTGATTTAATCAAGACCCAGCACAGTGGTGGTGACTGTCCCCCACCAGCACAATGCTAAAACCATCATGCTTCAGACACATCATGTGGTTATTGTGACTGAAGATTTTGAGCTGGCTTATGAAACAATACAACGAAAATCTCTGAGCGAATCACATAAATAAGTGAACAATTACATTAGCAGAAGGGAGTAAGGTCTCTTTGCACAGTATCCAATGCAAGGCTGGTTATATTTGCGCTGTACGGGGATGATATTTTTGCCTGGGTGTGTTAGGGGATGTCTGTTGACAAAACAATAATGAGATAATTTAGGAAGTGCTTCCAGTCCTTGTGTATGAGGCACTGGGAAGGGCTGTGTGGATGTCTTGAGTTTCCAACAGGTTTGCTTTAGCTTAAATGAATTAGGAACATAATTTGCTTTACAATAAATGCCTCTGGAAATGACACGAACCTCACATATGGGTTTGGTTTGGTTTAATTTCATCAGTTTTGTGAAATCCTTGAAAAATTCGGTATAGACGGGACCTAGGTCAGGCAGTTAGGACAGCTGGAGTAGAAAAGTCGTCAGCTAGAGCAGGGCTTTAGGAACCTGAGCTCCTGGGAACAGAGTCTGATTGCAAGTCCTCGCCTTTTCTGGTGCTGAGCTTAGGGGATGAAGAGGGAACTCCATGTGTCCCGGTGGGTTTCACCCTTATGTAACCCTAATTTTGTGATGATTACAGTGCTCATAAACTTAACAGAAATTTAAAGCGTTCTCCATGAGCTAAATGTAATCTGTTAGTAACTATATACTTGAATGTCGGGGAGACAGTGTTTTAGTAGTCTCTTGTGGTTATTTTATACTGCGCTCTTATTTTTCTAGTGGAGAAGCCGTACAAATGTGAGTTTTGCGGAAGGAGCTACAAGCAAAGGAGCTCGTTAGAGGAGCACAAGGAGCGGTGCCGTACTTACTTGCAGAACGCTGGCATGTGTGAAGCTGGTGAGTTTGTCACATTACAGTGGTTTTGGTTTTTTGGTGCTTAAAAAAGGGCATCTGGTAAGCTGTTAATTCACAGCCTGAGAATAGTTTTTACTACAATCGTTTTCAGTAACCTAAGGGGCTGTAACATCTTATAAAAGGGTCTGGTTTAATGCATCCCTCAGGCAACTAGTTAAAGAGTGCTTTTATTTTAATCACTTTTTTATTTCCCAGTTACTTTGAATAAAACATCTAAAATACCTTGTATGCAGCGTTTCTGTAGGTGACACTCACAGTAAGTTAAATTATTCCTACATTAATGCTATTATGTGGCTTAATTTATTGGATGAGCGGATGCCCATGGTTATTGACAACGGTTGTTTGCATGTCTCAGTCCATTTGATGCTTCCTTTTCTTTACAGTAAGAACTGTTGGTCAGATTTGGTTAAAATTTGCAGGACTTCTAGTGGCATGGATCTAGAGCATGGAAATGGGGTGGTATCCCGTAGATCGCTGATAAATCAGCGTAAGAGGTAGTGAGAGGTAAGGGACTTTGTTAAGTATAGAGCTGTCTTTGAAAAAGGCTGAAGGTAAATGTATCAAACCATGGATTTTCTTATTTACCTTCTCACAGTCTCACTGCTGCAGTTCTGAAAACACTTTGGTGAAAAATAACTGCCATAATCTTTGAGCCTGCTTCACCTGAATATTTCAAATCCTGAAATGAATTTGTGTGATTTAAGTCCCACAATACACCAGTAAGTCAGGAAAGAATTACTTTTCCTGTGCAGAGTCAGGGAGTGGTTGTGACCTCCCAAAAGATTGTATGACTAATCCGTAGCAGAGCTGAGGCTACGATTTCAGAATTCAAGTTCCCATTCTTTTGCTCTGCAGCCTTAAACCCAACCAAATAATAACTTTAAGGACTCAAGCTTCCTAGTTTTGATTGTGAATTTCAAATAGAATTTTCTTGTCAAGGAAAAGGTTAAACTGAGTTTTCAGAGAAGAAAACTAAAATGTGAAGATATACTTAGAGAGATGACCAAGACCCTTTAATAATTTTAAAAAATTGTATTTAGTGATACGATTATCAAGCAAAGATTCTGCAGGCATCATCGCAAGTTGGGCCTGAAAAGCAGTGGAAGACCCGTTGATAGATGCTGATGACTCTGTGAGTTCAAGCGTCCTTACCCTGTGCGGAGTGAGGAGGTTGATGTATCAGGCTTTCTCACACATGCACACCCAAAAACCGCCATAAAGAAACAATGATTTAACCAAGTTCGAGTTTTATAGTTTTTCATGGACCATCTTCTTTTCAGCAAATGACATGTTTTTTAGTGCATTAGTAAAAGTAAATGGTTATCAGAACATCAGCAAGTTTTGGTTTTCATGAGAACCCATACATACTGTAACTGTGGTTTTATGTTACAGTACATACTCCCATGATGGCAATCACTCCGAGATGTCCACCACATGAAAATGGAAAACATGATACCTACTATAGATTTCTGCTTTTAAATGATTCTCATGGTTTATATTCATTTCAGAATAGCAACATTTCACTTATCCAGAATCTGCTGTGTAGTACTTGCTGAAGTAGTATGGCATGCCTTAAATTGGTCACAGAGGAAATGCAAATTTCCAGTACGACATGATGTGGCTGTACCTTATGCCTTTAAGACCTTCGCACTTTAAAAAAATATTGCAGTGCTTTTAGTGGAGTAGTAAGTTTTATGAAAAACAGGAACTCCAGTCTTGCTGAGGCATTTCCATTCAATTCTCCAGTATCAGCACTATCTTAGATCACAGAATCGGAGAGAGTGAAGGCTGGAAAGGGCCTCAGGAGGTCATTTAGGGGGAAAAAAACCAAATCAAAACACACTACGTGTAGCATTTTGCACTTGTGTTTAGTGAACGTCAGGTTTTGATTTCTGACCGTTTTCTTACTTATCCACATCACTTTGAATTTGGGGTCTTTTCTGGAAGTCCTTGCAGCCTTCCCATATGGAGCCATCTTTAAGCACAAATATGCTCTACGTGCCATCATGCAATAATTAACTAAAATATTGAAAAGCATCAGGACCACAGTAACCGTTCCGGTTGCGTTTTAGTACAAGGTTTGCATGTTCCAAACGTAGCAGTGTGGAAATATTTCTGAAAGAAAGGTTTTATGTAACAATATTGTCAAGAGCATTGCTCAGTCCCTGATAACAATCTCTGGTCACATTGTTCTCATTGCACAATAACCCACCTCTCTGTTCCACTCTCCATTATTTAGTGACCGCATAGAGATGCTACAGGAAGCAATGCCTCTAATTTGAGCTCTGCTTTGTACTTCAGGGTTTTGTTAACGATGGCCGCATGTTCTAAAAATTATACGTGCATTTACGGTGTGACAGAAACCACACTATGGAAACAATTCAGTACAGGCTAAATGATTGTCTGTTAGCGCTCTGGCCTGGAAGAAAAGTATCCGCGCTCTGTACATCCACAGAACGACACGCTGGCTAGGTGACAGCACGCTTTTAGAGAGGTGGCTCGTCACCCAGTGATTACAGGAAGACACAAGTAGTCATTCATCATGGATAAATCATAGTTACACAAAAAATTTCCTATGGAAGTTGTTTTATAAACATAAGATTGCAACTGAAGTGTACACGCCACTGAGGTAGGCAACGGTGCTCAGAAGCACTACAGAGGTGTCTTGGGCGGTGATCAGGGAATGCCATCACCAGTCCGTAGCATTAGGGAAGTAGGAGATGGTGACCCAGGTTTAAAAGTGGTCAGGACATTGGGGCTAAGCCCTGTCCTGCTCCTCTGGAAAACAACCTGGTAGGAGCTTGACTTCCCATGTGAGTCCAGAGGCACAGGCGAGAGCACTGATCAAGAGGGAAGAGGTTGACTTGTTTGGTCCACAGAGTTTCTTCCAGCATCCTCAGAGTTTTTGTTGTTTTCTGGCCAGGCAGTTGAACCCCAGAAGAAAGAGGTGGGCGAGATCTTCTTAAGTTAGCTTTTGGGTAGGGAGCGTGTTGGTGTGGGAGGGAAGCAGTGTAACCACCTGCATCTCAGTGGGAGCAGAGTCTGTTTCCCTGAGGCTGTATTACGAAGACATTTTCAAAGACCTTTTGTGGCCCATAAATAGAGATTTTATTTTTTTTTCTTTAGGAAAAAATGGCCAGTAGTAAGGAGTAGAAATCCTAATGTGAAAGAAAAGACCCTTAGCGTTAAAATAAAATGGCAGCCAGACATCAAGCTGGAAGATTGATACTTACAGATGTCCCACAGAACATATTACGTAGGTCAATAGTTGCTGTCTCTTCAGCAATCTCGTCTGAGTGAAGACTATTGTTACCTCTGCAGGAAGCCGCTTGTCTGCCCTCTTGACACTAATTTAATAAAGTCCCCTTGGTGGCACATAAATAACACTGACAAGACAAGCAGACACTGATACGCTACGCGTAGCTTCCAGTGTGCTGCTGGGGCTGGCTAAGAGGACTTACAGAAACGTCACTCTCTGAGTTCTCCCAGAAGACAGAGAGAAAGATTCTGAAAATGGGAAATTAAAGCTTTAATAGAACATGAGTACAACTCGTGAAGCTAAAGATTGACAAAAAAGAGGAACTAGAAGAACAAAATAAGAAAAATGAAGATGTGATAGGGACCAGGGAGCTGCTTTTACAACATGGATGAATGGTGTTTTCTTTCTTTTTTTTCTTTACAACATAAATTTTTGAATATACAGCACTGTTTGTATTACCACCTTGTTCAGGGTAGTTGTGGGTTGTTGGAGTTTTAAAAATTTGAATCATTATTATTAATGACTCGCGCAACGATCCTGTCAAGATCACAAGCTTTCTGGGTTGGGGATAGTTCAGCCCTTGAACTGCAGTTCTCTAAAGACAATATAAAGAGCTCAGCAAGCCTATTCCAGTTTTTGTAGCATGAGAGTTCAGAAGAAGTTCTGAAATTAAAAATCCTATAACCTTATTCTCAAGAATTAACCAGAGCTTCTGGCCAAAATCCAGACAGATGATTATGTTCTGCCTACTTAACTTTCCCTTATAGTTTCAACTTAATCTGATCTTTCGTCTCACTTTACATAAACTATTAGGTAGTGTCTTGGTGTTTCATGCTGAAAGCAGGTGCGTTTTAGCAGTTGATGAATATATTTATGGTAAGTCTCTCAACATAACGGAGTAATTAGGAATAAAAATCAGACTAGAAAAGCGTTATGTTGTTACCTTTAAGGCACTGGGTATGCATGCCCTCTGTGGGTGTGGCTATTGTGTATACCATGGGGTTACATGATGACACAGGACTAAGGTAGTGCTGAGCTGAGCCCTAGGATCCCATCCATCCTGAGTCATATCCATAGCTAGTATTTGTGGCACCGAGTACTTATGAAGCGCTTTACATGTTCAAAATGCTGAACAAACATTAACAAATAGTTTTGGCTGAGGTCTGGTGAGTCATGGTTTGTGCTGACTGAAACTCATATGATATCAATAACAGCAATAATAAACCAGTAAGGAGTGACTGAAGTTTATAGGGAAATGCTAGGGAAAGCTATGGAAGGATGATACTGCCCTTTTATCGCTTGCCGTACTTGGCAAACTGCAGTTTAACTCCAATACTTAATAAAACTGCATTTAGCAAGACTGAAGTGATACGGAAGTGTTTGTATCACTTTCCTCTGGCATGACTTCTCCCTTACGTAGATTATGCTTCATATATTTAGGTATGCTAGTGCAACAGTACAATAACACAGCAGCCCAGATTCTTTCACGGTGAGATATGACCTTTTGTATTACCTTAGGAAAGTAAATTTGCCTTCCTTGTCCTCATTTTCCTCTACTTAGACACCAACTCTTAAAGGCATGGGCAGTCTCTTAAAACGTGTCTGGTTTTCACCACAGGGGTTCCTAATGCTGAAACTCTTAAGTGCTACTTTTTAATATAAAAGTACCACTACCAATACTTGTTCTTCAGGCAAGAGCAAGCTTTTGGGGGGGAAGCCGCAGCAGTTACGTTCAGTATTAGTCTGGCAGTAGTGATATGAGGTGGCAGTCCTTCAGCTTGGCTGATCCAGCTCAAAAGCCTGTGCAGCCTCCATGAGGTGAAAGCAAGCAGTAATTTCCGTGAAATGATGGGCACTGGTTAGCACGGCTAAAGGAGAACTCTGGAAAATAGCAAGATCCTTCAAACAGTCAGGGGCCCAGTCTCAAGGGAGTGATTGCAGGGCACCTGTACCTTCCCTAAAATTAGAAATTCTGGGGGTTGTAATGAGCTTTAAAGCACCTAATGCTTATGAGTGTGCCAGGGAGAAAACATTCTTAATAAGTGTTAGCTGTAGCATTTAGGGAAAAAAAATTAAGTGAGAATGACCCCTGAAGAAAACGAGTTTGAAGTGAATATGGAAAGGCTGTATTATTTTGATTTTAATGGAACATTGATCGATTTCATACACGTTTCTTGGTGATTAGTTAAGAGGGCATCTACGAATGACTGATACCTAAAAAAGTGTAGCAAGAGGACTTGAGCGCCTTACACTGAAGGTTTGAAGCAGTCTGTCAGTCTGCAGGTGTCACAGTCTTACTCAGAATAAAAAAGAAAGGCTAACAGAGGTTCTAGCTCCAGCTACATTTTGTAACCAACCCTTCCAGCCAGTTTATTTTACACTTCCTCTTGCTAATGAAGATACTGGGTTTGTATGGGTTGTGCTCTCCTTGCATGAGCTCGGGACTGCAAGATCAGTGTCTGTTTCTGTGCTTGGTTCCACTGACCGCAACTGGTGCCCAAGGCGCAAAGAGCAAGAACGACAGCAAAAGCAAAACAAGTTTACATCAGATCTCCAAACTGTTTCCTCCCAGTTAGTGTGGCAAACTCCGGAGATTAAACCATTCATCTCTTCCTTTTTTTTTCTTTTTTTTTTTTTTTTCCTTTTCACCTACGTGTTGTTGTTGTTTTATTTTTATTTTTTGTTTTTGTGTGTGTCTTTTCACATTTTCCAAACTAGCAAGCGTGGAGGCAAGGCACATCAAGGCAGAGATGGGGAGTGAAAGAGCCCTTGTGCTGGACAGGCTAGCAAGCAACGTGGCAAAGCGAAAAAGCTCAATGCCTCAGAAATTTATTGGTAAGAACAAAAAACCTTTTCATGTGCAACAGTTAAATATGTGCAAGCTGGTAACCTATGGTACAATGCCTCTGCTTATTTTTAAATATCCTTTGCAAGTTTATAATCTAATCTAATACAAAAGAATATAAATAAGCTTCAATTATTCTGATGTGGTTTTAGCGATTTGTCGTAGGGTTTTGATTAAAATAAAAAGACTCTGTTGCTAGATACTTAAACTGGATGGAAGCTCCTATTGTGCTTTGTGTCTATTTGTGCAGGCAATTTATAAAGATACTTTATGAGCTTCCACGTGTTGTTTTCTGTACCTGTGCATTTGAAATGTTCTCTGCTAGGTTCTTTACAGGAAAAGTACAGGAAGGCTTAATGCTGTTCAGAGCTGAGTGCTCTTTCTAGTCAGCAGGAGTTGAAGATACTTGCAGGATGCATGTGTGGAATAAGGCCTAAAGACAGAAAAGTATTGCATTTCTGTTAGTCACCCTGCTGAATTGGAATACGATTAAAAAAAATATCGAATCCTTTCTTGTGGTAATTTAAGCAACAAGATGTTTCCATAGCATTTTCTTTGCATTTAATTTTCTACGATCAGAGTTTTGCACGCTGGGGATCTTAAATACTAGTTTGGCAGGTTCTGTGTTTCACCAAACGCCTGATCCTCCTGGCCAGCCTTATTTCATTAACTTGCCTTTTAAGAAAATAAAATGCAACTCTTGTGTCCTGAGTAAAGACCTGACTTAGTCAGCAGTTGTATTAGTACGAGTAATGCCTTATTTGTTATATTCTCTATGTTGTATGAGGTACAGAGTGCTTGTTTTTCTTAATATGAGCTCTCCCTTCAGCATAGGGGCCTGGGTGGTGGCAGGTGCTCGCACGCATGACTGGGGAGGGGAGAAGCGTGGGGCTGAGCGTGCAGGCAGGGATCAGCTGCTCTCAGACAGACCCACCTGGTAGAGGGATGCTCCGAGGACTGGTCTTGAATGCCTGGGGCTAAGGTCCAAACCTAGGTGAAGGTATGCTGCTAAATCCACATCTGTATAAAACCAACTTAATTTTTGAAGGTAACATAGCTCTTACTGGATTTGGTGGGTAGCACTGGACTTCCATCTCTGAAAACTGGTAACTTTTATCTAGGCGTCTTAGTACGGCTTTGAAAGGTCTCCTTTTTCTACAGGAGTGAAGTAACACCAGCACGCTCCATCTGGGTGCCTGTGGGTACTTAATACTGAAACTGTTGACTCTGTGACTTAGACCTTACATGTCATGCTGTGATTCAAAAAGTAATACTAATGCAAATGTTTTTTGAAAATCTTTAGCTTCCTTTTTTTTTTTAGCACAGAGATCAGCTTCACCCTTTCTTATTTTACAATTGCTACCAATTCAATCTTTATGTATTTTAATAAACTCACCTGCAGCAGGACGCAACCGCTCAGCACACACTTCGAGCTAAGTACTAGTATTTTTCTGATTTGTTTTTCCAGCATACCAGTTCCCCTATGGAATAGATCCTTTTTTGATTTGTGATTGTGCTCACTAACGTGGTCTGCAGATGACATGAACCGATACTGCGTCACCCAAGGGGTTCTGTGGAGAAGTTGGAGGGCTCAGGGCACTTCACCTAAAGGAACAAAAAGAAGTGATTTCTGAAACTTAACTGTTTTTCTAGACCCTGTGCGATTGGCATGTTCTTGTTAAGTGATGTGTGAAAAAATTGCTCACTTGTTCCCTTTTATCCCTGGGAAATAGGTTTGCAAGAACGGTCTCTCCGACCTTGATTTGACTTTTGTGACTTTCTGAACTGTATGTGTAGGAGTGCAAATCTGCCAGGACAGCTTTGTGATTTCTTGGGAAATGGCGTTCTCAGAACGGGTGCTGATTTTTCATTTTGTCAGGAAGAAAGGATAGAGATGTATACTAACAAGGCATCTTTGTTTGGCTCATTTCTGTGAATGAAGTCCATTGATCAGAAAAAAGCCAACCCTTTATTATTATTTGAGGGCTCTACAAAGACTCATACAAGCACCAGGAGTCTTGCCCACTTTATTTTTTCACATTTTCATCTTCAGTAGCTACCTCATGTGCACCAGTGTAAGTCTCAAATAAGGACACAGATCAGCAGACCGTATACTTGACTCCTAACCTCTACGCTAGGCCCCCCTTCAAAGGCTTCTCCTGCCAAGATCTTGTCCCCAGCTTTTCCCTTAGTTATAAGGGAACAAGGATTTGAATGCAAGTTCATGATTTCATGTTTCCCATTTTGCTGTGGATTTTTATTTTGTGCGTATAGGGACCAAATCTACCAACCCTGACTTTTTGTACTTCCTGGTTTGATTAATGAACAGATGTTTAAAAAAAATAATAAAAATAGCAAATACAAATAGCCCAGCAGACTCGATACTGGTGCTGGTGGTGCTTCACTGCTGTATAAAACACTACTGGGGCTCTATCTTCAGTTGTTGCAAGTCAAAGTAACCGCTGCAGCCAATGCCAGTTGACACCAGCGGAGTATCTTGACCCGCAGCCTTTTCTGTTTCTTCCTTTTTAAACACAAGTTCTCCCTGAGACCAGGAATAAAAATACATTTCTCATAGTGGTAAAAGTGCTAGTGCAGTTCTGACACAGTAACCAACACCATTATCCCCCAGCGTGCAAAGTCTAATGAGAACCTGCCTGCTTTGGTTAGCACAGCGGCAGGAAGCAGGTTTACTCCCTGTTTCCAGTGTCCACACCTCATCAGGCTGCAAAAATCTATGTATATTTTAGAATAAGTCAAGCATCGCCGAGCAGCACATGAGTATGTGTCATACGCTATGGCTCATGTGTGAATTTTGAAGGGGAAAGCTTCTGCATTGCACTGAGACAAACAAAAAAAAAAAAACCAAAAAAAAGACGAAAGATGTTCTGCTAACTAGTGGCTGCTTTGTTAATGAGCGCTAGAGAACCCGTACATTTAATTTTAATTTTGATGTAGTGTTTTTTCGGTAACTTTGTGGCACTTCCCCCGGTGCAGATAGCAGCTTAATTCAGAATAATCTATGAACATTGTCCTGCTGGCTACGAAGATAAAGCATCAGCTGCTTTAGGGACGGTCCGGCTCATTCATCCCCCGGTCCCCATCTACTCCTTTCCCTTTTTTCCAAACCGTTGATACCAACTTTCTCCGACTGATTGCCGTCAGGTCTAAGTCGAGCACTGCGCTGGCTCATTGTCTCTTCCCATGGCAAGATTTGCTGTATTTGATGGAGAGGAACCAAAATAAACACGAGTTGCCCCCCCGCCATCTGCTCAACTGCGATACGGTGCCATAGCTCGACGTTCTGGATAGACGGTTAGCGTTTTCCGTGGCACTTTCATGCAGATTCAGCCTACCTAAATATAGGCACCTTACTAAGGTTATCGAAATCAGATGTGTGCATGCCTTGGGCTGTCTACTGAGTGGAGAAAGGGAGAGAGAGAGAGGAGCCATCCTTTAGGTAATGCCTTTTCCTCCCAAAGAATCTGCGAAACATCACAGTCGGGCTTAGGGCCTGATTCCTTGCCCTCTCCTATAAGGAGTCCGCTTCCGATGTGCCGTGGCCTGTTAAAAGCATACGTTAATGTATGTCAGAAGAGCACATAGGTATTTGCGTTTTCATTTGCTATAACTGGTAATTTAAGGGAGGCAGGATGGGTACTGTGGGGATTTTAAAAAGCCAGGAGGACACTGAAATAATAGAATACTGCGAGAGCCACAGTGGCATTTTTGTCTTACGACAGTGACTCCGAACCCAAAGTGTAGAGGGAGTCCTGTATATTTTTGCTTTTGTTGCCTTTTTTTTTTTTTTTTTTTTTTTTTAAATTTCAAATTTATTCACTTCTTTCACTTGCCTGGAGCTGGTTTTATGAGTCATACAAATGTGCTATAGCGTTTTGTTGCCTTCCGTGTAAAGCTGGATCGCAAGTTTTGTTGAGGGTTGGAAGCAGTTACAGTCTTGTGGTTCGCTAACCTTTTTGAGTGTTTTATAAGAGAAACGTGAGCTCCTGGTTTTCTGCCTCTGCAGTGAAACCTAATGAGTTTCATATACATTGAGTCATGGTGTTGACAGGTGACTGATAAACATCTGCACTACTCGAGTTACCGTAACTCAAAGATTAATGGATCTGATGTTTGCAAGGCACTTACAGATGAAACATTTGGTCTGGTCCATTTTTTTTTTTTTTCCTTTTTTAAAGCTATGAACAATTTTATGGTTTATGTAACCACAGAATTCAGTTACTTATTTCTAGACATTCAGCCAAAAAAAAAGTGACTTTAGTCCTGTCGGGGTGCAGTTTTATTTCTTCCCTGCACCTGGTATTGAGAAAACTGTCTGTAGTGTCCTGCCCAGCCCACACTCCCTTCCCTCAGTCCTTGCTAGAAGAAGCATGAGCAGAATTTCAGATTTCATGTAGGGGCTCTCTTAGCTCTCCTCCCGTTCTGTCTAATTTGGAGCTTTCAAAGCCCTAGCACGCCCAGAGAGGAATCGCTTTCGCTCCTCTTCTGCTAGCCCCATACCAGGTGACCCTAGATGTGGTCTTCTGTACATCTAAACGTAGCCGCCCGTGTTAGATTATCCAAAAACCTGTGTCGAGTTCAAAGAAACCAGGCGTGGTGCAGAGGAAGCTGTAGTTGTCAGAGGACAGTGGGGAAATGGACTTCAGAGTCCAAGGATGTAGAAAAGAAGAGTCTGTCAGATGGGTGGAAGTACTGAAAAGTGCATCAGGTCTCAGCCTTGTCATCGCTTTTCCTGTTAGGGGTATGCTTCTTGGGGGCGAGGCCAGAACGAAAGGTTGCAGTCTTGGTACCAAAAATGGAGTATTTTGGTTCATTATCCATTAGCTCTTTTACAAGTATTTTCATGAATGATTATTTACCTTTTTCTGGAAAAAAAGGTGAGAGAAGTTAATCTCTGGAAGCTTTTTTTAATATTCTTCCCCTTAAATCACAGGATAACTAAAAAAAATTCAGTGATGATTTGTCCAGTAAGCATCCTCACCACCTCCTCTATTAAATTTTTGCTTCCAAAGCTGGACTTTAAAGAATAAATAACAAAACCCCCAAGAAAACCCTCACCCAAAAGCTACTCGTGTGTATGAATGGCCTCTTTCCGCAGAGAACATTTCATGCCTCTACTTCCCAGAGGCTGCTGCCGTTTAGAAAAGGCATCGCAGAGTTTAAATATTTCTTTACCCACCCAGTAATTTAATACCTCTCCTCTCTCACAGGTGAGAAACGACATAGTTTTGACGTTAATTATAATTCGAGTTTCATGTACGAAAAGGAAAGCGACATCATGCAAGGACGCATCATGGACCAGGCCATAAACAACGCCATCACCTACCTCGGGGCCGAAGCCTTGCGCCCTCTCGTGCAGACGCCGCCAGCTCCCACCTCCGAAATGGTCCCGGTCATAAGCAGTCTGTACCCCATACCGCTGACCCGTGCCGACGTGCCCAACGGCAACTCGCAGGACGCGGAGAAGAGCCACCTAAGGGACAAAAGCCTGTCTTCTGACAGAGGCCTTTCCCCAAACAACAGCGGCCAAGACTCCACAGACACTGACAGCAACCACGAGGAGCGGCAGAATCCCACCTTCCATCAAAGCCAGATGATCCCCACTCAGGCCCGCAATGGCCTCCAATCCCTGAAGGATTTCCCAAGGCCATATGACATCATCAAGCCACCCGCCATATGCCCACGCGATGCCTTTAAGGTCATCAACAAGGAAGGGGAAGCCATCGGGGTCTACCGGTGCGACCATTGCCGCGTCCTCTTTTTGGATTATGTGATGTTCACTATCCACATGGGCTGCCACGGGTTCCGCGACCCCTTCGAGTGCAATGTCTGTGGGTACAGAAGCCATGACCGATACGAATTTTCCTCACACATAGCACGAGGAGAGCACAGAGTAGTACTCAAATAAAAGGACTGGGTTTCCAAGGCCAAAGGCTTGGGTTGAGGTTGGAGAGGAGGCTTGGTGGGTTGGGTTTTAATTAGTATAAAGAAATTCCTTGAGTATTTTTCTATGCCAGTCTTTAAATGAACGTCACAGGGCGGTGAAACCTTTTTAAATTTTTTTTTTTTTTTTTTTTTTTACAAAGAATTCAGTGTTCTGTAGCATCTGTGCCTAGCTGCTGCGGGGAGCGGTACTGTATAAAATACCAGGAGCAGAGACCGAATTTTATATGAACTTTATTTTTGTGAAAATTAAGAGCCATTTAATATGTTTTTATTTTTTAAGGTGCCTTTGTTTTGATAACGTATGCTTTAACTCAACGCAAAAGGGGTTGTTTTTTGTTTGTTTTTGGTTTTTTTTTTATGCCCTGCTGCCATTTCCCTGCTCGGTCTGATGTAGAGTCAGAAGGACATAGGAGGAGCTGTTTGTAGCTGTTACATTCCCGACGGTCTTCAAGTGCCTAATCACCGAAACAAGGAGAACGCGCGTCTGGGGGGGATTATTAATTCCTCTTCAAAGGTTTTCCCCTAAATCTTAAAGAGCGTGTGGCCCCACCACACTTTCATTTTTCTTACCCCTCTGTTCACTTTCTTTAAAGTCACTCCCACATGCGTCTTACTCAGTAATAGCAAAATAAGAAGTGAGACCTATTTTGAGGGTTGGGGTTTTTTAACAGTATGCATTTTTGGGATACCCAGTGAGGTCATTGGTTGGCTCATCCATGCAGTCGGGGGGAAATCCTGATTTTTTTATTTTTTTTTTTTTCATTGATGGAAAGTCCTCCTTTCTGATGGGTGCCAAGAACAAGGACTGAAACTGCACTGTGCCTTGCGCCCTCCGCCTTGCTCCTGCTCGCCTCCAGCAGCAGAACCCGCGGCCGTGCCCTGGCACGCAACGTCCCTGCGGCCGGCGGAAGGCGTTGGGCTCGGAGCGGGAATCACCCTGACCTGGCAGCAGACACCGTGAGAATCTGCATACCCGAATGTGTGGGAGCTGACAGCTCAATCACCCTGTCTGGTTTTACGCGGGGATATCCCTCGGCGTGAAATGTGCTGGTTTGCAAAATGAGTATTTACCATTACTTTGAAGCCGGTTTTTAAAATAGTTCTTTTAATCTAATCATTGCTCTGCAGCTGTATCGTTAGTCACTGTGCTGAAGATATGAATTTGATAACAGTTTTGCTGAGTGAAAGTTTTATTCTTTGCAAAGTATTTTTGTATAAGGTAGGGTTAGGTGTGTTCTGATGGACTTTCTGCATCCATTGTGCGGTTTGATATCTACGTTGCTTTGTACTTTTTCGACGTTGCCATGCCAATATCCGTGCCGATCCATCCGTTTCCACGAGGGAAGGCTGGGGCACAGATGGCCCAGGTGGAGCGCCAGGGGTCAAGAAATACTGAATTTCATTCCTCCCTCTGACCCGGGCTCACTCTTGGCTCCAATACCTTGTCCCTCCCTGAATTTTAAGGTCCAAAAAAGAAAATTATATTCATTTTTTCCCAACAAGTGTACGTCTGGAGAAAGATAAATTAGGTCTGCAGAGTGCTTGAGTATCTAGGGGGCTGTGGAGGTGCCAGATCTAAGATCCTGCTTATCCCTGGGGTGAGGAGAACTCTTTTGCCCCCTTGTGTGACATCATGCAACGTAGTTACGAAATAGGCTTAGGATCTTTTCCAATAACCACTTCCCCATCACGAGGTGCACACGGCGAGCGGGTGGCCGGTGGTTCTTCCCCGATGACCACCCCTTGCCACGGCGTGACAACCCCATCCTTCTGCGCGAGCGAGCCTGCGGTTCCACCCAGGCCTTATACCCGCGCGTCGTGGCCGATGAAAACGCTCCTCAGGGCTCGACAGAAATGAATAAGGCGACGCGTAGTGAAACGTAACTTGTCGTTTGCACAGGAAGCCTCTCAGATCGCCGAATGTGTGTCACGCAGCGCCGCTGGTTTCTTTCTCACGCCGCTACCGAATCCTTGAAAACACTCTTCAGATTACTCTCCCCCCTCTTCGCTTACCGCCAGGCAGGGCTTCAGCCACCTACCCTCGCTTCCCAGATAAGGTGAGCAATCAACCACCGCGCCTCCCAGCAGCGCAAGCCTGAGCACCGCTGCCAGGTTTTTGAAAGGAAGGAGGGGAGGTCTTCGCAGCCTCTGGCCTAGACGGCGCCGTTTTCCCCACCGCCGCTCAGGCAGAGTCATGATTTCAAGATAGGCTGAACCGAAAAGCAGTTCCCTGCGCTCTCTGGAGTTGGCGGGCGGCAACCTCGTTAGCAGCTCTGCTGTTGGACAGTCGCGTGTTGTGGAATTTCAACCCAGTCATTTATTAAAACACATATTTTTTATGAGTAGCGTTTATCTGCTGTGTGACGCTCGCCTAAGCGCGTGCCTGCGACTCCCAAAGCGGGGCCTGAGCCTGTCTTAGCTGGCTCCTGGGAGCAGGGCTGGGGAGCCAGAGGATCGGCCCCCGCTGCCTGCCCGCCCTTGCGTCTGGGGACCCCCCTGGTGTGGCAGACCCCTCCCGCAGCCCTCCCCGAGCCCCTTCCCTCGCAGCCAAGCCCCGGCTGTGGGGGTCAGGGGGCCCCTTGGGCTGTTACCCCTGCGTCGAAGGGCTGCGCTCTGTGCTCAGAGCTTTGCAAATCCTCGCCTCGTCTGGGAAAAGGCAGCGGCGGGGGGGGAACACCCCAAAAATGCCGCTATTTGTTGTGAGCCTGATTTATTCTGCTCCTGGTTTGGTTATTTTGGTACAAAGCAAATTCCTGTTGGACGGTTCTCTCTGAACGCCCCCCAGCCAGCTCCTCTGTCTGCCTCGCTTGGTTTCTTTATTTACTGCTGAACTCCACCGAGGCGGCGGGCAGCAGGGAGGCGGCTGAGGGAACTGGCTTCTGGCGTGGAGAAACAAGGCTGGGGTGCTTCAACGTTTAACTGAGCGGTTTATTTTCTTTTTTTTAAAAGAACTTCAATAAACTCTGGTGTGCGTAGCAGCTGAAGGGAGGCCGGGTGCTGCGCTGCGCTGCTCTCCCACGCCAACGCTCGTGCCTTGCAGCCGGGAGAGCAGGGGCCAGCGCCCGGCTCCGAGCTGGAAAGCGAGGGGCAAGCGTTGGCCGATGAGCGGGAGCGGGGCTGGAGCCGCTCCCCTCTGGCATCCATAAATCCCAAAGCTGCCATGAATCCTGGGACCGGCCTGGAGCCGTGGCGCTTCCCCCCGGGGCTGCCGAGCTGCCGGCGATGGCTGCGGTTAGCAGAATGCCAGCCGGTTACTCAGCCGAGCGCTGATACCCTCTGAGATCGAAAGATAACGTGGTCTGCTCCTCTCAACTGCTGAAAAACGGTGTCGGGCTGCAGCTTTTGGTTAATAGATGAACGATACGGCCCAAGGGAACGTGCCCTTCCCCAGCCTGGGGCTGCTGTGGCTTCTCCCCAACAAGCTCAGGACGAGCGTTCGAGGGAGGGGACCGGCCCAAATTCACCCTGGGTAGAGCAGAATCCATTCCCATGGGATGGCCCCCAGGCTCCTGCTGGCCTCGGGGCTCGCTCCTTGCGAGGTGATGTGTCACAAAGCGCCATCCTCCTCGCCCTGGTGTTACCGAGCGCAGTCATAGCGAAACCGGGCTCCGGTAGAAGTGCGGAGGAGCGAGGAG